GAGAGAAAAATTCTCCCTCTCATCTATTACTCCGCTTTTCTTATACTTAAAACTTAAAAGCACCACATATGAGAGAGAAATTTCATCGCTCAACTATTAGTCCGCTTATCTTATCTTATACGTGGTACTTAAAATCACTCATATATTAGCACTACATATGAGAGAGAAATTTCTCCCGCTCAATTATTAGTCAATTTATCTTCTTATACATAAAAGCATTACAAATGAGAGAGAAATTTCTCCCGCTCAATTATTAGTCAATTTATCTTCGTATATTCTTATATTCTTATCTTCTTATCTTATCTTATACTTAAAAGTACTACATGTGAGAGAGAAATCCCCCCCCCCCGTTCAGTTATTAGTCAATTTATCTTCTTATCTTGTCTTATACTCCCTATGTCCCTTAAGAGTTTTAGGGAATGGAGGGAATACGTAAAAGCACTACATGTGAGAGAGAAACTTCTCCCGCTCAGTTATTATTAGTCAATTTATCTTCTTATCTTATCTTATATCTTATATATATATATATATACTTAAAAGCACTACATCTGAGACAGAAATTTTTCTCCCGCTCAATTATTAGTCAATTTATCTTCTTATCTTCTTATACTTAAAAACATTACGTATGAGAAAAAAATTTCTCCCGCTCAATTATTAATCAATTTATCTTCTTATCTTCTTATCTTCTTATTTACTTAAAATCACTACCTTGAGAGAGAAAATTCTCCTGCTCAATTATTAGTCAATTTATTTTCTTTTACCTAAAAGTACTACGGGTATGAGAGAGAAAATTCTCTCCTTCAATTATTAATCCGTTTATCTTTTTATTCCTAAAAGCAATACATAGTAGAGTTGACATATTTATCGAGCTAACAAAAAACTTAGAGAATGGTTCTATTTATATTTACCACATTTGCATGTGAAGGAATTAAAAGGTAACTTTGGTTCTTATAACATTTGTAAAAGTAAAATAAAGGTAAAAATCATAAGATGGAGATGATGATAAAAAAATGTAAATATGGTAACTTCATATTTCTTACTACTTATGTGTGGTATGACTCTCGTTGAGTAACTTTAATACACCATGTGAAATTTATAAACCATTTTACAATGACAATATTAGTATTTACACTACTACCATTTTATAAAAAAAAATAGAGAAAATGGTGTTTATTACACATTGGACATCTTCTTCTTTAGAATGTTTTTAGAGCCCGTTTGGTAAACTCAAGTTGCCTGAATCTATCGCAAATTATGAAGTTGTGACTGAATTGGCTGAATTATGCAAAATCCCTATTTTAAAATATATTCTCATTATAAAATAAAATAATAGTATATGAAAAGTAGCTAAAATGACCATCTAAAGTAACTTTAGCCATTCAGCAAAAAAATAACTTCAACCCTAATCATTCTGATTATTATACAATCCAACGCATATACCATAAAACATACTCCGGAGTATTAAAATTCATAAATTTGTCTTAACTTTCATATAACACCAATATTGTATATTCAATTTTTTTGAAGGTTTATTAAAAACTTTCTGTTTTCAACCTCGACACACATTATTTTGTATTAAATACAGAAATAATTCATGAATACGACCAATATAAGGATAGTGACGGATAAAATTGTGACTTATTAACTTTTGGAAATTATAATTATTTCTTATCTTATATTAAAGTGATTATAAAAGCGTACTCATAGCCTATGTAGTTACATTATATTTTTTTATCGCAAATAAATACTTGGGAGATTTTTTCTTTAGAATGAAAATAAACCTTCTTATAAGAATTCTAGTTACTCTAGAATTTACTATGAATGTAAGTAAAGAAGGAAAATTGAATCTACATTCATGTAAATCTGATTTACATTCATAGTAAATTCGCAAATATATACTTGAGGGATTATAAAAACGTACTCATAGCCTATTTAGTTACATTATATTTTTTTATCGCAAAATATATACTTGATAGATTTTTTCTTTAGAATGTTATTTAGAATATACATCGTTTCCATTTAGATTGTTATTTAGAATTCGTTTGGTAAAACGGAAAATTGCTTAATTTACCGAAATTGTTGACGTTCTGGTTGAATAAAATGAATCGGTTGGTTTAATACGAAATACTCCGTAGTCTGTTTTGAGGTTGGAAAATGGGATGATTGTTTAATAAACCTTCATATTTTTTTAAAAAATTATATACTACGTATATCCAATATTGGTGTCATATGAAAGATTCTAAAATATTATGAATTTTGATATTCTTTTTATATTAAAAATTATTTCTTTATATAATACGGAATAATCTGTATTGAGGCTGGAAAATGAGAAGTTGTTTAATAAACCTTCAGATTTTAAAAAAAAAAATTATATATCAATATTGGTGTCATATGAAAGACATGAAAAATTATGAAATTTGATATACTTTTTATAAAAATCAGATAAATGCTGAAAAAGTTATAACCGTTTAAAAGAAATGGTGTTTTTTTTTATATATTGTGCCCACAAATTAATGCCACGTTTTTTTAAAATAAATATAGAGGGTGACCTTTCTTTCCTTTGTTATATTTGTGTGTTCGGTTACTTCATTATCCTTGAATTGGACACATGTCATTTGTAGAGTAGAGGAGTAATTTGTGAAGATAATGACACATAAGATTCTAAAATCTTATAAACACCAATGAAGGTTAGGGTTATTTTGGGTATACAAAATGTGTTGGTGTAACTCTATGCTTTAAGATTTTGTACTCTAAGTTTCACACTAAGTACCTCTTTATTTGTACCAGAGCCTCTCCGTCTGCTTCCGTTAAAATAAGTGCGGACACCTTCGTTATTGCCTTATTGGGATCCGTCTTCCGTTAAAATAAGTGTGGACAGCTTTCATTATTGGGATCAAAATGGGATTAAGCTAGCTAGGATACATTTTAGGTACGCCACAAATATCATGTAGCTTAATTGCAATTTAAAATTACTTTGTTGGGGAGTATGTAAAGTTTAGGTAGATCATCAGACACCATCATTTAAAGATAAAATTTTGAAGATATAATTGAAGATATAATTTTCATTATTTAGACAACAATAAAATAAGATAATTCAAGTATATTTTGACAATTACTTTTGATGAATGTATACTATAATTAGGTCATTTATGATAATTTTGATATAAAAGTATTTATTGTAAAAATTAATGATTACATTGTCATTTACGAAAAATAATTGTTTCCTGAAATATAAATGCGAACTTTTATATGAGACATCCAAAAAAAAGAAAATAGTATATTTTAGAATGAGACAGGGGAGTATTACTTCAACAGAACAAATGGTGATAACATATTCTTAAGTAATTATTGGTACAATGCTCATGAAACCTAGAGAGAGGAGAACTCTGACTTCTCTCTAAAAACTTAGCGACCGTCTCCCCTCTTTGTAGGGATTGAGATTTTCCGCTGCCCCTATCAATATGGGGCTGTAGCGACAGATTATTCTGATTTTAAGTGTGCTAACACTTGGGATTGTAACTATGTCGGAGGAGATAACGATGGCGGATGAACGGATTGCGGCTGGGATTTTGTATCAGTGTTGGATCGTGAAGCCTTGGTCGACCGCTCTGACGGTGGTTGAGTTTGTATTCACTATTCATTCATACTGCAAGAGCTCGTCCTCCTCCAGAACCACCTCCATACTTGGAAGAGTTTTATGGAAAGATTTTATTTTAATATTATTTTCTCTTTGGTAGTACTGGTTTTAGTTTTAATCCGTATAGATTTGGTTTGAATGTTTGGATTTTCATGGTTCTTTTGATATGCAGAGTTTCAGATCTGTTCGTTTTAGGCTTAAATTTGTCCGTTTCAGGTTTAGCGGGTCAAGTTGCTTTGTATGAGGTGACTGATTCTATGTTTACTCCTAGGGTTGACGATTGGATCTGTAAAATCTGTCTGAAGATTGTCTTGTATGCGTCCTCGATTTTAATATAAAGCCGCCTGTTTTACGATGAAAAAAGTAATTATTGGTTGATGAGTGTGAACTTATAGCCCGTTTAGTAACATTGGAACTGATTGAATACATTGAGTGTGTTGATATCGATAAGATCTAGCTAAAGCAATTCAATCCGCTCAATGGTGGCAAAATTCTATTTAAAATGTATTCTTTTTCATAAAAAAATATTAATAAAATAATGAAACAATAATAAGAAAATTTGTTAAACTGGAACCTTTCAACAATTTGAAAAGTTTCAAGTTAGTTGTGATCTGTAGAGATATATATTCTAACCATATATTATTTCTACATGATCATTTTACAATTTAGTCCGCAAAATAAAAAGTTACCTATTTCATAAAAATGTTGTTTAGTAAAGTTAATACAGTAAAAAATTTACATGTATTTCTTATTTTACATGGAGTACCATTTTACTCATTCAATACTTTTCATATTAAACTTCTGGACATTATGAATTGCTCTGGATGAATTCCAAATCCTACTTGGTATGGACTGGTAATCATAGTTCAATATTTTTCAGTTGTTTGAAGATTGGTGGAGTGTTATCCACTTTGGCATTGGTAACCTTGTAGGTCGTATGACATTGAATCCCCTTTATATAAATAAATATTGTATCTAGAATAAGGAAAAAAAATAAGGATGTCATAAACTATAATGCAGTCTATAGAGCTACCTTAGAGAAAATATCACCAATCTCAAATCCATCTTGAAGAATAGTTACAAAGTGTGGGTACTACACACCTGTAGTTTTAGCTACTCACGGGTCTGATTATGAAGTCAAAAAAGACCATTCTTTTAAAGTTATTTACCATTTGGAATATTAACAATTTCTTATGAGTCAGATTCTTCTACTAATTATAACATCAATATTCTCACATTGTTCACACTCAACTAATTGAAGTTTCCCTTTGTGATTATTATCACCCAGAATAATTGGGCATTTTTCAATCGCTGAAAGCGCGTTACAAAAACTAGTCACTAAGATAAAAGCTACGGAGTACTACGTATTTGTTTTCTTATACGTAGGTATATAAATCGACTAATTTGCAACAGAACACCACTTGTGTTTTGCTGCTCTGCTTCTGAGATTTGGAATTTTTGTTCTGAGATTTGGAACATCCAACGAAAGCCCATGTCTATATATAGAGATAAAAGCGCCGTTTGATGGAGGAAGAGAGGACGGGGGATAGATGATCATGGCGGACGGTCCGGCTAGCTTCTGGACGCAAGCCAACGCGTTGCTCAGAAAAAATTTGACCTTTCAGGCATTTCCTTTTTCTTTTTGGGTGGCCAGAAATTCATATATACAGTAGTTAAAAACTAAAATACTCTTCATTTGGCGACATTGATTATGCTTCAATGCGTGGCTTCTGAATGTTGACCAGATACAGAATTATGGAACACTTATTCACGATTTTTTGTCTGGAAAATTGGTTTACTTTAATTCAATGTGAAAACAAGCAACAGTGTCAATCTATGCATTTGGATTCACGTGCATTGATAACTTTATGCAAATCAATTTCTAAGATGATATCCATGCATATGAAGATTAGGGATTAGGAGTTCCGAGATACCCCATCTAAAAATGATTGTCTTGTTACAAATGTAAATCTGTAATGCCAAGAAGTTATTTTTACTTACTTTTAGATTTGCTAGCTTAGTATGTGCAACAGCGCAAGCTGTACTTAGAAGTAAAGAGGAGATATCTTGGGCTGTTGAGATGTTTGGAGTGCAATATCATATTCTTCAGGGGGGATAAAGCTGAAAATGATTTTATTATCTTTTACTATATATAGTACTTCGTATAAGAAATGCAGCATTCTTCTTGATGCCAGTACGCCACTAAAAGAAAAAGTTAATTTTCAAGTTTTGACAAACATATCAAAATGTGTGCATATTTTTTCTACTGCTACGATTTAGTTAGGCAAGTGAAACTTTAGACCCGTTGGTAAGCTATTAAGTATTAACCTTCTAGCCAGTCATTTTTTCTACAAAAACAAACTTATTCAACCGGCATTTGTTGAAACCATAAAATCAGCGGTTTAGTTCATTTTTTGGATGAATTAATGAAATGAAGATAATTTTCACTTCCACTCTCACAATTTAGATAATATTTTGTTTAGTTTAATAAAATATGAGTTTCAAATGTATCTTTTGATAATTCAGTTATTCAACCTTATTGGCTCATCAAGACATTGAACCATGACATAGCAAATTCAGCTCATTCAACCAATTCAACCAAATTTAACCCTTCAAAGAGGATCTTTGTGCATGTCTTGTGGCATCTTCTTTTCTTCTTAAAAGTCTTATGAGCAAGATTTGCATCAAACACTAACCTATTTGGCCGTGCTAACTAAAATGGTTGACAATGGCGATTTCTGTTGTTTAAATAAATGAAAATGACATTTCTACCTCTTTTTAAATATACTACGTATATTTTAAATGACATCAACATATTTTTTTATACTTCAAAGTTGTAGGCAGCCGACCCCAAAATATTTTGAGATTAAGGCTTGGATGTTGTTGTTCAAAGTTGAAGGCAACTTAGCCATATTAGCCCCTATATGGACTAGTTTAACAACATCATTCATTTGAACCAAGTTTTCCCCTACCAAACGAGATCTAAGTTCTTAGTCACATCACAAAAATTTGTGCGATATTTTTTTAATTTAATACTCCCTCCGACCCACTTTTCCTGTCTTACTTTCTTTTTTGGGTTGTCCCAAAATAAGTGTCACCTTTCCCTTTTTGGAAAGAAATATGTGGTTCACAACATTTCACTTTACTATACTCAAATCTCAACCACAACATTTACCTTTTCAACCACTTTATTAAAAATTGTACCAAAACCAAAGAAGACACATAAAATGGGACGGAGGTAGTATATCTTCAAGTCTGCCAATTACCAATATTTTCAGAATTCCTAATAAGTTATACATGTTACATTTTGGATTTTATTACTTTATTACTATATAGATAATTATGAGAATGTTGGTATTTAAGAAGGTGCTTTTGCCTGAGTCTTATTTTTGTACATTTTTTGTTATATTCATCTATCAAAAACTCAAAAAGAATGCACTGCTATCTGGAATTCTATTACTCTTTGTTTTTCGTTTATTAATACGCTTTATTGTTGTGTTACAACTAACCTTTTTTATTTGCAGAAACGAAATGTGAGCTCAAATCTACGACTAGTTGTGTTCCCAGTAGTAATCTGTCTGTTGCTTGTTCTCATCCAGTATGTGGTGAATAATGAGTTGGATAAGCCATCAAGAAGGTGTGGATGCACTTGTGTTGATACTAATGGGGATGGAAATTGTGAAAGAGTTTGTGGGGTTGAGTACTCAACTTTGGGTCAAGCAGGCAACTGTCCTCTTCCTACTCCTCCAGAATGGCCTCCATTGTTACAGATACCCAGAGCAGAATTTCGTGCAGTACAAAATGATTTAACTACATACAAAGACTTGCCTGGGGAGTCATGCAAGATCACTGGATCCTGCCCAGCTGTTATACTCTTGACTGGAGCTAATAAAACATTTGCTGAAAGTATGACGGTCTTCATTGATTGCGTCTCAAATGTTCCGAAAGGATTCCCCACTTTTGTATGACTGTTATTTATCAACCTTTCTTGTAACTTGATAGGTATTGGTGGAAATTTGTTCCAACGCCCAACCCTCCATTCGTCTAAAATCCCTCACAGCTTAGCTGATGATGTCTTGGTGAGTTTTCTTTCATTTTCTTGTTGTATCTCTTAATATTTTATAGGTGTATCATGTATGAACATTTTCTTTTGTAGTTCTGATCCTTGATATAAACTTGTCATATGTATTGGAATCACCATTTAAAAATTTTCAGGGTTCAGGATCATACACAGAATACTCTAATTTCCTGGAACCAGCTTTCTCCTCTAATTTAGCCGTTTACAATGTTCAACCTCAGTGTGCTTCAAACTCTACGTTTTCAATTCCATTGAGAATAGGATCTCGTCTTTTGCAACAAGGTTTTGAATAGCTAACTTTTCCACATATTTTTCCATTATTATAATAACTCTATGTTGCTTTCTATGAAATGAATTCCATTCTAACTCAAGCATTTTTGGGCATTCTGATTTTGTTATTTTTGTTTTAAATTCTGTGATACAGTTCTATTATTCAACTAAACTTTTAATGCAGATATAAAATGTGTGCAAGGCCTTCATTTATGGCGTAATAGCTCATCTGAAATTAATGAAGAGCTTTATAGAGGATATAGAAAAGGCAATTCAGAGAAAAAGATAAATGAGATATTAGCAGGTTTGTTTGAAAGGCATTACTGGTACTTCCCTTGCAATAACACTTGATATGTGCGCTAAAAGAAAAACTCCTCAATTGTTGTTGATATGTTTTGCAGCGTACAATTTCTTAAACTCTGATGGAAAGCACTTTAATGTGAGCATTTGGTATAATTCTACCTATAAAAATGACACAGGAAACACACCCATATCATTGACACGGGTGCCCCGCTCGATAAATTTGGTACTCTATTCTTGACCTTCCTAATTGATAGTTATTTTCTGTGTGCAAGGTCATCTTGTTAATGTAATACTGAACTTGTAAAGAAAGTTATAATCACAGTGCTTGCATACCTGATACTGAGCTAATAGTGAAACTGCTGGTATGTAGTAAGGTGCTTTATAACTACTTAACTAGAGATAATAGTGTAACTGCTGGTATATAATAAGGTTCTTTTCTCGGAGTTTTGTTATTAACAAATTTTAGGCATTTATTGCCTTCTTCCGTTCTAAGCTATGTAGCACGGAAATTCTAGGCATTGATGCTTATCCATTATTATTTTCTTTCTAAATTAAAAATGAATGAGTTTCTATGGTTTCTACTTTATCGGCAATGATTTCTAACAAAATAATTTAGATGCTGACATTCTTGGTGTTTGATGTATGTTAGGTATCAAATGCCTATCTCCAATTTCTGCTTGGCCCTTCAACAAAAATGCAATTTGAGTTTGTCAAAGAAATGCCAAAGCCTGAAACAAGAGTCAGGCTGGATTTTGCTTCTCTTCTTGGGCCACTCTTCTTTACATGGGTGGTTATACAGCTATTTCCAGTAAGTTGAGCTAGTTTTATTTATTTCTGTAGTGGTGTCCTAAATTCAACTGTTGTAGGCACTAGGCAAGCCACTTAAATAAGGGTGCCTTTTTGTTTATCCTTCAATCCTCACTGTAGTATTATCTAGCTCTTTATTTACACCAGGAACCAAGCATTCTTTAACTTCGTACTTGACATAACATTTTCCAATATAATAGTGTTCATGGAATGATGGAAACACTACAGTTGTAGATTTATGAAACATTTTAATATTAAAGGGGTATTCGATTATAATTTTAATTTTCCTCATGCTTAAAGATGGAGATCTCTCTGTATCTGAGAAAAGATTAAACCATACAAAGGAAAAACGGTTGCATCTTGATTCTTGTGTGTAGTGTTTCCATGTACCAAATAATGTAATCCGTGCTCAACTACATTGCATTATGTATAAAAGCTTTTACTAACATTACAGGTTGTACTGACATCTCTGGTCTATGAAAAGCAGCAGAAGCTAAGAATTATTATGAAAATGCACGGACTCGGAGATGGACCCTATTGGGTGATTTCTTATGCTTATTTTCTTGCCATATCTTCTATCTACATGCTATGCTTTGTGATTTTTGGATCTTTAATAGGTAAAATGAACTATGTTCTTATGTTTAGTAAAATGCTCTTTATAAAGTTGTGCATCCAAATCAATTACTCCATTTGTTTTGTTTTACAGGCTTAAAATTCTTCACACTAAATGATTACAGCATCCAGTTAGTTTTTTACTTGATCTACATCAATTTGCAAATTGCAGTAGCTTTTCTCGTTGCTGCATTATTCAACAATGTGAGGACAGCTGCAGGTTTGGCCTAACTGAATTGTTATTATTTCATAAAGCGAGGTCTCATATCCCCCCTCAATTTTGGCACTTCATTGCTACAGTGGTGGGCTATATAATGGTGTTTGGGTCCGGGCTCTTGGGTGGCTTCCTTTTTCAGTTCTTTCTTCAAGATACATCATTTCCAAGTAAGTCTTGAATTGTGAAGACTGCTATGGAATTATCTGTTTTAACTTTTAAGTGTTGAATTTTAGTTTCAGTCACCCCATTAATCCATATTGTAAATTTTCTCAAGCGGAAATAACTTAATATGATGACTGTTTTAGAATCTGAATCTCATCACATTATTCCTTCTTTCTTTCTTGGGAAGGACATCCAGCTCAAAGCTTTGCACCTATGCTTATTTGCATAAATTGTAGTGTTAACTAATGTTAGCTATATAAATTAATTAGCATAAGTTTCATAACATTGACCCAACTGGTTGAGATTAAGGTAATGGTGATGATGATGTGCATTTTTATGTGGATACCATCTGACTGTACGATTAAATTAGGATTAACTATAAGAATGACAATAAGGTTTGTGGTTAATGTGGTCTATCCGTGCATGTGCTATGGATGAGCGGAAGGAAGAAGAACGAAAGCTACATTGATATATGTGTCAACTCATTGGTCTATGATGATGAGTTTGAACTTTGATTAGCTGAATCACAAAACGTTATGATGTTGCCTTCTCTAGAAAACACTGCTCTCATAAATATGTTTTTATAGCCTTGGAACCTTTCCTTATGAAGTTTGCTCTTTTATTTGTTAAGACTCAAAGTTTCATCCTAAAAAGTTAATCTCATTGGTAGAGTAGCTCAATATCTTTATATTGTAGTTAATTACTTCTTATTTTTCATGTGAGAAATATTTCAAAACTCCCTTCACAACTAGACACTTCTTCTGGATCGTGCCGTCATTCATTCATTTTTTTTTTTCATTTTTTCGACATAATCATCGTAAAGCTTTCATAGCGTTCCAAACCATGGTTATATATCGATTTGGATATGATACAATGTTAAGATTCGGGGTTATATCCTAAACAGTCAATTTAATAGGAGGAATAACCCAATATCCTTTATATTATACTCCCTCCGTCCCACAAAACTTGGCCAATGTTGACTTGCACGTAGGTTAGTAAAGTAAAAACTGTGTGGTTGAAATTTGTGCAAAGGGGGAGAGAAATAACTTTAGCCACATATTCCTTACTTTAAATGGAAATTTACCTTTCAGTCTAGTCAGCATACCTTGATCGCATAGAAATCATGATGCACTCTTCCATTTCATCCCCCAACTCTGATTCTATGAGATAAATCTCCATTTAATTCACCATCCTTCTGAATTATGGAGCCCAAGTAACGTAACATATCACACACCGATATCTCATTACCATCAAGAGTAATCCCACTGTTGCTACTACTTTTACCTCCACCAAACTTGCACTCCATATACTCAGTCTTGCTTCGGCTCAGTCTGAAACCCTTGGTCTCCAATGTTTGTCGCCATACTTCCAACTTTGCTTTAACACCCGATTGTGTCTCATCAATCAATACAATATCGTCTCATTTGTTGGCAAACATCATGCACCACCGTATATCTTCTTGAATTGACTTCGTAAGTTCATCCATGACTATAACAAATAAGAAAAGACTCAGAGCCGATCCTTGCTGCACTCTGATAGTAATAGGGAACTCTGCGGTCCTTCCTACACTAGTACGGACACTTGTAGTACAAGCCTCATACATATCCATGATGATACTGATATACTTATGTGATATTCCTTTTCTAGTTAAGGCCCACCAAAGAACTTCTCGAGATACCCTATCATATGCCTTTTTTAAGTCAATGAACACCAAATGCACAGATCCTTTTAGTGTCTCTATACTTTTACACAACTTGTCTAAGAAGGTGAATGGCTTCAAATGTTGAGCATCCAGGCATAAAATCAAACTGATTCTCCGAAATTTTCACATTTTTTCGAAGTCTTTGCTCAACCACTCGCTCCCAAAGTTTCATGGTGTGACTCATAAGCTTGATCCCTCGATAGTTGGCACATACTTGTACATCCCCCATAGCCTCTTTAAATAAGGGAATGAGAGTACTTTTCCGCCAACTCATTGGCATTTTGTTGTTTCTCCAAATCATGTTGAAGAAAGTCAAGAAACGTGTTAGCCACTCAATGCCTTTCTCTCCCAAACTTCTCCGAGCCTCTATCAGTATACCATCTGGGCCCACTGCTTTCGTCCGCCCATCTTTCTCATAGCCTCTTTAACTTCTGTTATTTGGATCCTTCTTACGAAGTCCCGATTTACCACACTCTGGTATAGTAAGATCATCAATACCTTGCACTTTATTCTCGTTGAACAAGGTATCAAAGTATGACCTCCATCTCTCTTTTATTTTCCCGTCCTCCATTATTACCCTTTGATCGACATCCTTCACACACTTAAATTTTCTAATATCTTGAGTCTTATGGTCACGAAGACGACCAAGTCTGTAAATATCTTTTTCTCCTTCCTTAGAGTCCAATTTTGCATACAATTCCTTGTTCACTTTTCCTCTTGCTTCATTTACAGCTTTCTTTGCTCTTCTTCTAGCCTCCTTGTACTCCTCTATGTTCTCATCGCTCCGACTTTTGCCCAATTTCTTATAGCATTCCCTTTTGATCCTTATTGCTTGTTTCACCTCACCATTCAACCAAGATGTGTCCTTTTTTGGTGGTAGATATCCTTTAGATTTTCCAAGTATCTCTTTCGCCACTTTGTTAAAGGTGGACTCCATTGATAACCACACATCATCCACATGTGCGCCATTATCAATGGACCATACATCTTACTCCAACATTTTATGTGCAAAATTTTGTTGGAGATTCCCATCAAGCCTCCACCACTTTATCTTTGGCTCCCCTTATACCTTAACCCTCCTCTTTTTACCTTGAAAATCAAGCACAAACATCCTATGTTGAGTGACAACACTCTCATTTGGGATAACCTTACAATCAATGTAGCTAGTTCTCCAAGTCGTCCGTACTAAAAAGTAGTCAATTTGGGTACTATTAGTTCCACTCCTATAGGGCATAAGGTGAGAGTTTCTTTTCTTGAACCAAATGTTCATCACAGCCAACTCATATATCGAGGCAAAATCCAGAATGTTCTTTCCCCGCATCATTTCTCTTGCCAAAACCATGTCCGCCATGGATACTCTCAAAATCATCATGACTTGGGCCCACATGCCCGTTGAGGTCGCCTCCTATGACCAACCTCTCTCCCCTTGGCACTCGTCGCACCTCCTCCTCAAGATCCTCTCAAAATTGTTGAGTGATAGATGCATCCAATCCCATTTGTGGTGCATACGCACTTACCATGGGCACGATCTCATCTCCTATTATCAGCTTAATGCTCATGATGCAGTCGTTCTTCCTGAAGACTTCCACCACACCCTCAACATAATCATGTGCCACCATAATGCCTACTCCATTTCTGTTCCTTTCTCTCCCCGAATACCACAACTTAAAACCTCCGGGATTAATCTCACGTTCCTTTTCTCCAACCCACTTAGTTTTTTGCATGCACATTATGCTGACATTCCTCCTCATAACCTCAGCTATCTCAGATGATCTTCCCGTAAGAGATCCAACATTCCATGTCCCAAAACGCAATCTAGCACCTTGCCTTTTCTTCTTCACACCAAATCCACTCTCATCATGCCCTTGCATATTTGACACCATCTCCGGGCATTGGAGTGGCGCGTCGCTTCTGGGGGACGACCTAGCAGCCTTAACATTCTTATCACCACACCCAGACCTATGAAGTGTAGCGCGCCCTTGCATATTTGACACCATCCCTAGGCGGAGGGATGACGCGTCGCTTACGGGCGATGACCTAGCTGTAGCGATATTCATATTTCGATTCATGTCATGTGATGTGACTAAGTGATACTGTTGGCCGTCACGCGCCTACCACAACACACTCCTTTATCCTGGCTTGGGACAGACATGATACCAAAAAATGATCTCATGGCGGAGTTCAAAAAATAATAACAGATGACCGAAAATAATTAAAAGCATTATGTATAATTTTTAGAGAGATAAGTGTATTCAGTTCAATTATTTTCCTTGAGAATTACATCATTTTTTAATACAATGTAATTATATAATCATTCAGGCAACATGTTTACTATGCCATGATTGACATGTTGCTACTTCATGATTTGCGGGATTAAAGTGGTTATTGTGCTGTGATATGCGGGATATGTCATGCTATGATGAAGGTAGCAGTGTGCCGATGGCCCGACGAAGGTAGCACCATGCCATGCACCGGTGAAGGTAGTACCATGCCATGCCCTGGTGAGGGTAGCACCATGCCATGCTCCGGTGAGGGTAGCAGCATGTCATACCCTGGCGAGGGTAGCAGTGTGACATGATCTGGTGAAGGTAGTGACGTGCCATGTCTTGGTGGAGGTAGCAACGTGTTGACATATTGTGCCTTTGTAGAGGTAACACCGTGTCCCTCATCTTGAGTATGCTAACCATGTCTCTTCTCAGGCACACTATCCATGCTCGTCTAGTTTACCTTATATTCAGGCTCAACCCTTATACAACCGGGTCCACTGTATTGGACTAAATAATGTGCCGCTATATATGCCATCAACATCAGAAACTGATAAACTATCTTTCTCTTTGATATTGTGATGTGGGTAAATAACACTCCTCGAGTGGATATCGATTCACCTTCATTTTGAATCTAACTGGTTAAAACTTGAAATATAATGGCAACTCCCAAAGTACCTTAGGTTGTCAAAGTGGACTTCTAGCATGACTTACGAAGTGGGCCAAAACCTACCGTAATACTACGACAAAGTTTGACAGGGTAGAGTTGGATTACTTGGATGAGAATCAAATTGATGTAGAAGTTGGACTATAAAAACTTAAGCCCAAATTACATTAAAAGGGTGAGCAGAAATTACCCTAAATAGTAGTAAAGCATATCATAAATTTAAAAGAAAAATGCTATTTGTACACATTTTTTGTACATACTTGTTCACATTTTAACTTGATGTAGAAGTTGGACTATAAATACCTTTAACTTACATACTTGTTCACATTTTACCCCTTTCTCTCTCTACCATTTCCCTCTCTCCTGTCTCTCTTACGATTCTCCCCCCACCGACTCTTCTTTCCTTTTCCTTCCATCTTCATTATCTTCATCGCCACCATATTTCATGTTGTTTCATTTTCCCCATCATTATTTTCACCATCTTCCATATTTATCATGTTCCATCTTCACCATCTTCCATCTTCCCCACTTCATCTTTCAATTTCTAAGATTCGCTGGAGATGGAGTGCGATAATAACAGAAAATAACAATCAATAGCAACAACCTTGCCCAAGCTTAAAGCTTAAACACCAACTTTAATGAATAAGAATGGATAGTTCGAATGAACCTCTTAATGGGTATAAATAGCCTACTAATTCTAATTAAGGTAGAACTCCTCATTAAATCATACTAGGAAACATAATTAAAATAGGAAACCTAATAAAAGGAAATAACTAGGTAATTAATTAAAGCTAAATAAAATAACCAGCCCACGAAGGTGAGCTCAGGCCCGTCCCCTCCTACGGTAGACCAACAAGGGCCTGGGGCCCGGCTCTGCCTCGGTCACCGGAAAACCAAACCAGAGATGAACAACCGCTGAAGTTTTTGTCCCTGTCTTCAATAAGAATTGTGTGTCATCCCAAATATCAATAAAATTTGTCTATGTAATGAAATAAAACTAAAAAAATTAGTAAATGCCTAAAGTTAGGCCACAGAAAAACTGTGCATAGACATCAGCTTGCGTGTTTTTTTGCTAAGTTGTGTCTCTAGCATAGATACCGATGTCTGTGTACATATATTAGTTGTATGCGGCACACAAAAATGTCTTTATTTGTATATCTTTTGGTGTGCCAAACAATTTTTGTTTGTCATAGACAAGTAATATCTATGCACAAACATCGGTGTCTGTGCCATAGACACTGATGTCTGGGCAAAAAGTTACGCGAATCGATGTCTGGGCACAAACATTTTTTTGTTTGTGGCTTAGCTTTACACACATTTTCTAGTTTTTCAGTTTTATTTGTTCACTCAGACAAACTTTATAGTAATTTGGACGATATAGACATTTTTTAAGACGATAATTCCACGATTTTTCATCTCCAGTTTGTTTTCTGGTGACTGTCTATCTCCTATTGTTCGTCTAATCTTGGTAGATAATCATGACGTGGGGAAGATGGAAGATGATGAAGATAAACAGTGATGGAAATGGAAGATGGTGAAGATGGAAGATGAGGCATATGGAGGACAATGAATATGGTGAAGATGATGGAATGATGAAGGTTGAGCTGCATACGAATAGGAGGGAGAAAGTAAATAGGGAAGAGAGAATGAAAGGAGAGAGAAAAGGGTAAAAGTGTTTAATTTTTAGAAGGGTTATATAGGTTGTAGGAAAGGTGTATATATTTTATGTACATCAAGCATTGTTGAATTTAAAAATAGAACTACATGTTTTAAATTAACAAAACAGGAGTTCCTATTTCCCTTCTACCCCTCTAACTTCTGTTCTTTTCTCTCCCTCTCTCCCTCGATAATATAATTTCTTCTTCTTTTCGTAGTGCTCAACCCGAAATCTTCTTCTTTGCAGCAGCAGGGCGATGACGGTGACTCTCTCTTCAGCAGGTACGATGACAGAGGGGGCACCAGATTGTTATGTAACTGAGGCAGTTGGGGCAGTTAGGCAGGTCAGCGGTAGTTAGCTAGCTGACATGTCGTTATTAACTAGCATGTTAGTTAGCTAATCGAGCCAGCTGGCTTCTTTCTAAGGCTATACATAATGTCTTAGCCTCTGTTTTTAAGTATGCATGATTGTAATAACACTCTTGATTTCTTTTCTTCTCTAAGAATTCCTACTCACTTAGCTAAGTTTTTGAGAATATCCTAGAACATAGCAAGTGGTATCATATCTCTTTCTTGGACTCTCATTCCACCATTGATACGAAGCTAGTAACTCTGGCTAAAAGACTTGTAGTTGCCAAACTATCAGCTATCATGGAGGACAAGGTCGCTAACCTGGAAAGACAGCTGGAGGAACAAAACTGGATGACTGAATTGAAGTTTTCTGAGACACCATTGAAGTTAGATGTGCTGCTTTTGCTGCAGCAAAGAAAGAACGAGGATGAGGAACAAAACTGGAACAATTAGTTATAGATTTGTTGATAGGTAACTGAAGAATCCCAATAGAAAAACGTTGTATATTACTGAAGGTTTAATGATGGAATACAGAAAATAAGGAAAGAAAAAGGCTGAGACTCTTCGAGTGGCCTCACACTCCCAGTTTCCCTGTCCCGATCCCCCAAAGTTCTCCTCCTTCAACTCACATCTCACCCTTATTTATTCTTTTTTAATGGGCCAGCCCACTTGTAATTAATTATAGGGCCTAAACTCTTTTATTGTACAAAATTAAAATACTTAATAGTATTCTTATTCTAGTATTTTTATAGGTCTCTATCATCACTCCCCCTTGAACTACCACCTTGTCCTCAAGGTGGATAGTAAGAAACTGATCCATTTGAACAGGTTATCTGCTACATCCCGTTCAGGCTGCTGATCACTTGTTCCATGCTCTTCTTCTGGTCCTTCCATCAAGATGAATTGATAATGTTTCATTCCACAAACATGTTCTTTACCCTATTTATCTCCACATTTGAAACACAGACCCTTTTTACTTCTTTCTTCTAGCTCTGTCTGTGTCAATCTTTGGCCTCCCTCCCAAGTGTTACTTGGTTTTGGTGATTCCTCCAGTTTGTTCTCTGAATGTGTTCTCTCGGGAGTCACGGCAGGTGTTCTTCCCTTTGCTCCTTCCACCCAATTCAAGGGTCTAACCATTTTCCCTCCCTGTTCCTTCCAGCCCTTTTTTCTTCTTCTTTATTTTGTTCTCCTTTCCACACCATGTTCTTCTTCTCCAACAACAAAGCCGTGTCCATCAGTTCAGTTAACCCACTGGTCTGGTACAACTTCAGCTCCTGCTAATTTCTTCTTTATGGCCATTGAGAAACACTCCCTTTAGCATCTCTTGGTCAGCAAGTTTGAGAGGAGCTACAACCATTTCAAAGTGATCCCGGTACTTCATTACTGAATCAGTTTGCCTAATACTGAGCATAGGACCAAACAGGTTCTGTACTAAGTCAGGTTGGAAACGCCGGATCAAAGCCTCTTTGAAGTTAACCCAAGAATAGTCAGGTGTGTGTTCATCCCATCATTGGTACCAGTTCAGAGCCTTATTGGCCATGGCGATCAAGACTACCTCCACCTTGTCAGTCTCCGGTACTTGGTTTAGCTTAAAATAGCGTTCGACCCGGACCAGCCATCCATAAGCATCGTCACCGCTAAACAGTGGTAAATCCACTTTTCTCCCAGTATAAAGTGGGACTTAATCCACTTAAAATAGCGTTTGACCCGGACCAGCCATCCATAAGCATCGTCACCAGCCATGCACACAAAATAAGCAGCCTCATATACAAATACCACTTAACCAGACAAACATTTTAACTCAGGCAGGACTTAATAAGAAAAAAAGTAAACAACCCCTTATTGTCTTAGTGCTAAGACATGTGGTTCATTTTCTGCTATTATTAACCAGCAACCTTTGTTTTTGTACTGGACTCTTTCCTACTCACGTTAGGTAAGGGCTATAATAATTTACTCTGCTTACACTTTAAATGATTCCGTTGCAGGAGGCTGGATTATTGCTATGGAGTTGTATCCTGGATTCTCACTTTTTCGTGGATTATATGAGTTTTCACAATATTCTTTCACTGGCAGTTATATGGGGACCACCGGAATGAAATGGAAGAATTTGAGTGATGGCAAAAACGGGATGAGAGAGGTCATAATTGTCATGTTTGTGGAATGGTTACTGGTTCTCCTCTTTGCATATTACACAGATCAAATAACATCATCAGGGAAAACTCCTCTCCGTTTTCTTCAATCTTTCCAAAAGAAGCACCCGCCATCGTACCAAAGATCAAACTTACAGAGACAGGGGTCTAATTTCTCCATTGAATTGGAGAAACATGATGTCGTCCAGGAAGTAATATGCTTGATTTTATTTAATACAAATTGCTGCGTGAAATGTATTTGTTGAAGTAGTAAATTCCCTATTCTCCATATGGTGGTATCTTATTTTAAATCATTTAGCCATTGATGATGTAAATGGTATTTAATACTGCAGTAGTTCCAATTTTCTCTCTGATCGTATAATTCTTACTGCAATAATTCCATTGCAATTCCCCTCATGACGAAATAATTAATCCAACACGACAGTGCTCCCCCTAGTGCTAAGGTTTTGTCTCCTGCATTCTCTTTCTCCATATACAAAATATTCTCTCTCTCTCTCTCTGAACTCATTTCCCTGTCTAACCCAGATGCAGAAATGTAAGTGAAAAAAAAACTCTGAGCTTGCACATGACATCCATTGGCACTCTAGTGACTAACTATATTTAATTCACATAATTCATAGTTTTGCACGGTATTTTCTGTTTTTTTATTTACATTTCACCATCACATAAATAGAGTCTTGTTTGATTTTTTCCCTCTAAAAATAGTACTTCCTCCGTCTCATTTTGTAAGATTCACTTTCCTTTTTGGGTTGTCCAAAAAATATGAACACTTACCTAAATTGAACTCCACTAACTTTTTACTTTCTCATTATCCTTTTATCTATCATTTCATCTTTTACTTTTTCTGGTGCCAGCCTACTTTTTTGTTACATTTTTGAGGTTAGAATTTTAAAACAACCACTTTTATCTTTTATTCTCTTAAAACTCGTGCCAAACACACATGCAATTTACATTATGGGACGCAGGTAGTACTAAATGTACCAATCGGTCTGATATTTTATAAAACTTGTTAACAAAAATTTCTCATTCGGCAAATACTGACATCACACCCCTGGCTTTGAGGCAATCTGAAAGAGCCTTTTCTCTCTTAGATTAACCTGTGATTTCATGATTGGAGTTCCATATAGTAAAAAAATTTGGAAACATCCTTGATAATCTCAAGATGGCTGTAGATAGGGTAAGGAGCTGGTTCATGTTACAAATTAAACTGCTGAGGTTAGAGCGGAATTGCACTAAGCTTATGAACAATTGAATCTTCAGTTTGCTCTTGAAGAAACTTTGGAAACAAAATAGTGGTATTAATGGACGCTTGAAGCCTTGAAGGAAATATAAACACACTTCTGTCCATGGCTTAACATTTTAACAAGCAAAAGTCCAAAATTTGATGGTGTCACTGATGAGCCGGGAGAATCTTATATTGATCCTGATTATATTTGTGATGCTGCAATTAGATATCTCTATTCATGAAAGTTAGTGAAGTGTGTGCAACCAGGCTCATGGAGGGCATACCTTTCCTAATCATTGCCATCACCTTGGTCTTGATTTGTAAAGTTGGCCAGCAAGCTAATGGGAAAGACTTCAGACCAAATAGCCTTTGTAATGTCATGAATAAAGACCTGTCTAAGGTGTCGAATGCCAACTTAGTCAAGCTTCTCCCGAAAGTCATATCATGATAATTAATATGGAATCGTCAAAGGTAAGAATATTTCTGATAATGTCCTACTCGCCTGGGAGTTGGTGGAACAGGTCAATGGAAAAACCAGGAGTAATAATCTGGTATATTAGTACTACATGCTTTAAACTTCTCATTTCTAATAAGAAGATTCAAACATCTTCCAAAGCCTTGTGGAACAAATTCCTTCCTTCTAAGATCTCGATTTTCAACAGCAAGCTCTGTGACTCCTGGATTCTGGTGGATTCTGTCACAATGTCCAAGTTTAGTGCTCTCTTAGCCTTAATGGTGTTGTTGTAGACATTCCAGTGATATAACCAGGGCTATCTGGAGCTTCAATGGGGCTAAGTATGGAATTAGGACCAGAAAATGGAAGGAGTGGTAAGTGGTTAATTCTTCATGAGTTGGTGGGTTTAATGCAAGGGGATAAGGCGATAAGTCCTCTGATATTCATCATTCCTCTAATTGGTTTTTGTTTATTTAGTTCTTCCGAAACAAAACTCCGTCATGAGATCATTTTTTGGTATCATACCTGCCCCAATTCAGGATAAAGGAGGAAGACGTTGTGGTAGGCGCGTAACAGCCAACAATATGACATGTGTCGAAATATGAATTGCTAAACTCCAATTTCATATGTCGATTCATTTAGCTGACCCCAAACTCTTTTGGGACTAAGGCTTGGATGTTGTTGTTGTTGGATCTTCCGAAACAAGGTCTTATAAAAGCTTTTGATGGTGATGTGGAGCTTCTTGTGCTGTCAATCACTCACGAAAAAGTGATGAAAAATTGTGTTGTCTTTGAGTGGTTACGATCCATGAGAACTGGAGGTAGCTTAATGTTGAGTGTAGTTAGAAGAATGGAGGGCTGTTGTTGGTGGGATCATAAGAGAGTAAAGAGACCCTTTACGAGAGTTAAGAAATAGAACGGAGCTCATACTTAATTATACTTGTTGTGACATGCTAGTCAGCTCACGGACTCATGGACCATTATTAATAAGTTACTTATGTATAAATTACAGTATGGATATATAAATATAGAATTATAATACTAATATTAAAAAGTTATCTTTGTAAAATTACTCTTGAGTTTGAATATCATATCAAAGCTCAATTCAAGCCAATTGAACTCTAGCCTTGTAAAAAATTCTGATGTTCGTTCAAGCTTGAGCTCTGGCTGTTACAATTAGTTCAAACATTAATTCAAGCCTACCCAGGTTTGAGCTCGGCTCTCGTTTGCACATGTACTGGCATACCTGCCCGGTGCACATTTGATAAAAAAGTTCAAAAGGTTTTATGATAAAATGTGATACAAAATATAAGTAGCGGCTCTTAGCTAGCCTACCCGCTACCAGTATTTTATCATACAAAATATGATAGAAGTTCAAATGAGGGGTGAGGCTGGTGAGCCAGTATTTGTTACATGCATGTTGTTTGTAAAAAATTCAAAAAACCTATCATATTCAACAATAAATATGATGGAATATAAAAAACTTACAAAAATTTCTGATTATCAAAAATACTTTTAAAAATTGTGCATTCAAAAATTGAAATAAAAGGGAAAAATACCTTATACCAATGGATGACTTGCTAGAGAAGGTCATATTCCAGTTAAATGACTAAATTGATTGTTTTTTAGAGTCAGCATGTTTGTATAATCCTTTTTTAGAGCCTGCAAGGGTTTAGGTGACAATTTTGAAATACCACAGGGGTCTATTTGATTGTTTTCCGAAAATAAAATGGCGAAGTTTATTTGGGCTGAATTATTTATTTCAAGTCATGTTATGAAATTATATTTGTTTATTATTAGTTGTGGATACTAATTTAATTTAATGTAGCATCTAATATCTTTTATTATTTGTGACCAGTCAGATATTTCTGATCTTTTGTTTGGGCTTAAGAAAATATTGGAATTATGAATTCCAAAAATTTCATAATTGGAAAATGTACTTCCACTTTAGATGTTTATTTTAATTTTGAAGTGCTGGGGTTGAAACCATGAATATTACGATCCATTCCGAATATGGGAATTGGATTGGATTGGATTAGATTGGATTGTCTAATGGGGTTCTCTTGATTCAGCGTTCATGGATCAGATTGTGGGTTTACCATTTGCCTGCTTATTTGCTAAGTCCTGTATGTGCTCAGACCTACTTTACTCCACAACTAATCAACTATAGGTGATATCCTTTTGACAGAGGGAAAAAGTTGAAGATTTGCTTCTTGAATCAAGTACAAGTCAAGCTATAATATGTGACAACATTGAAAAAGCTTATCCAGGAAGAGATGGAAACCCTGAAAAATTTGCAGTGAAAGGGTTGTCACTTGCTTTGCCTCAGGGGGAATGCTTTGGTATGCTTGGGCCCAACGGTGCTGGGAAAACTTCTTTTATAAATATGGTCAGTCTAATGTTATTGCAGTCAAAATAATCTAGTTATTAAGAGGAGTTGATCCTTAGTTTATTGTTCGCTTGTTTTTCTTCATGATACTTTTAGAGTTGTTGTCTATTGTCTTCCAGCGATCAGATTTCTTGGGTGCTTTTGACTAGGGTTGTAAACGAAACGAATCGAGTCGAATAATATGATTTTGTATTTGTATTTGTTTAAAATTATCGAATACGAATCTGAATTCAAATATGTAACGAATATAATTTTCGATTTGTATTTGTTTAATAATACGAATAGTTAACGAATCATATATGAATATCGAATCAATTTGATCATAAGTTAAATATTAGTCAAATAATTTAAAACAGCTTTTCATATATTTTTTATGTTATAAATGCATGCTATGACTTATTATGTGCTTTTATAATTGTTAAAGCATTTGTCCCACACCGGAAAGCTATAAAACAATCAAACACTATAGAATGGAACCCCAGGTCTTAACAGTTTTTTAATTTGTAACATTACATTTTTCTTTAAAAGTTAATGGATTGATGTATTTTTAGGTTGTGCACAGTATGATGAAGTGAATCAATTTTGTGATTACCATACATAAATATATTTCAATTTTTTTGAAATAAACACACATATATTAGAAATTTTAACTATAATGTGTGAAATAAGTTGAAAGTTTTATATATCAAATTCAAACGATTCAAATTTTATGTTAGGTATTTAGCATTGCTGATAATAAAGAACGCCAATAGATATATATCTTATACTACACACTTATAGAGGGAAGTTGATGCACACACACATACTAGATAGTTAATTTCGTTTCAGTACAACGAATATATATTTCATTACTCTTCGAATCAAATGCATAACTATTTGTATTCATATTTGAAAGATGTTTGAACCAAAAATCTGATTTGTATTCGTATTTATATTCTATATTTTCAAATTTAAATCGTAATTTTTGAATCCAAATCACGAATCGAATTAAAATTATTTGTTTCATTTACAACCCTTACTCCTTATGATATTTCTGATTTATTACAAATTGACTTGGAATGTGTATATGTAAATGTATATATGGACTCCACTTTGAGGGTATATATAGCTAGCTTTTAAGAGTTATTATAGTGTTACTACTACTATTATTACTATTAATATTATTAATATTATCACTATTATTAATCGAATATATTTGATTAACATTCAAATCGAATATATGGATATTCGTATTTGTATTTGGTAACAATTCGAATCAAATTTAGTATTCTTATTTGTATCTGTATTTCAATTTTTCGAATTCAAATCGTCCTATACGAATTCGAATTCGAGCATAAATTATTTGATTCGTATACAACCCTACTTCTGACTATAGTTTTTTATTTTGTAATGCCAATTCTAAGCAAGCTGAGTTTCTGTGACATGTATATCCTAACAGATGATTGGTCTCATAACGCCGAGTGCTGGTACTGCATATGTCCAGGGCATGAATATTCAAACTGATATGGACAAAATATATACCAGCATGGGAGTGTGTCCGCAGCACGAGTAAAGCATCATTGTTTTCTCAATTAAAGTAGTCAATTTGCCTTGTTTGGATTGATTTGGTGGTCAGACCTGAACTAGTGATAATTCGAATACTGGGAATGAGATAAACCACAATTGAAATGGCTTGAGTTATCCAATTCCAAGAAATCACTCAGAACCCATGGTGTTTTGAAGGCATGTGATGCCCCTGATTTCATGAATTTAAAAATTCCAGCTCACGAAGTAAGTGAATTTCAAGAAAATGGAAACCAATCCAAACAAGGACTGAAATTTGCCATGAATCCATGTTGCAATAGGGATCATTATGAATGAAGCATATGTATACACATGTTGACCAAAGCCATTGTCATTTTTGCCATCTGTTTTCAGTCTGCTTTGGGAAACGTTAACAGGAAGGGAGCACTTAATGTTCTACGGACGGCTGAAAAATCTGAAAGGAGCAGACTTAAAGATGGTAAGTGAATTCCTTACCTTGAAGTCGTCTTCTTAGTGCTTTTTAGTTAATCCTCCTTTGATATTGTGGTGGTTTGACCATGTGCGTAGAAGACCGAGTGATGGACTTATTAGACGAGTTGAGAGGACCGAGTGATGGACTTATTAGACGAGTTGAGAGGTGGGGTGAAGAGGCAAGGAGGAGAGGGAGAGGAAGACCCAAACAGACGTGGATTATAGCAGTCAAGAGTGATGCTATTTCTTGGGTTGGATGGGAGTAAGACTTTAGAGAGAGCGAACAGGAGGCAGAGTATTCATGTGGAGGATTGATCTCATTTCATTTTTTTCTTTTTTATCTTTCTTATGTTCTTTATCTTTTACTCCCTCCGTCCCAAAATGGTTGGCCAAATTTCCTTTTTTGGCCGTCCCAAAAAGGTTGGCCATTTCCATTTAAAGTAATGAATATGTGGCTAAAGTTAATTCTCTCTCCTCTGCACAAATTTCAACCACACAGTTTTTACTTTATTAATCCACGTGCAAGTCAACATTGGCCAACCATTTTGGGACGGAGGGAGTATCTTTTTTATCCCTTTTCCTATCCTTTCATTTTTATCCTTTCTTATCTTGCCATGAAAGTTAAAGCAAAGCAAATAAGTAAATACGGAACATTGTTCTAAAACTGTTCACTGATATCTGGATACAACAAAACAAGGAAACTCAAGTGCTGTTTTAAAGTACTAACTTTCTGATATTTTCTTCATTGTCATATCACGTGCTGACGTGCAATGTCATCATACATTTGTGCGTTTGCAACTCTGTTCTTGAAACTTCTTTGTTCTTCATCACACAGCCAATGCTTGCATCCTTTTCACCAAAATGCTTCAAGGCCTCCAACTTTTTTTGGTTGCAAAATTACATATTCCTTTGTTACATTGCACCAACAGTTTCTCCACATAATTCCATGTATTCTCATGGAGGGATGCATGAAATATCATCCTCCCATGTTTTGGTTTGATTATAGTCTGTTTATCTTGCTTTCTTAAATGCTCATTCTAGTTTTTAGTTTGAACGCTTCGATTATTAGAACTTTCATTTACCTTTTGATTTGTGGGATAGCCTCTTTCTAGATATGAATGCTTCAGAAGTTCCATTGAATCAGCATATCATTGTTCATTATGTATTTACTTGAATAGTTGAATTATGTGGGTTTCCATCATTTGCAATTGAGCCAAAGACTCACTATTTTTTGGCTTGGGAATATGATGGAATAAAGCAAAATTGCTCAGTAAACTATCTGCGCTTCTTTATTATGAAGCAACAGTCAGTCCATGCAATTTTCAATGCGATTTTCACTATGGGTCATCCAGAAACAATCTCTCCCTGCTTTAGTACAGGGAGCAAGACCGCGTACATCTGACCCCCTTACCCCACCGTAGGTGAGATCCTTTGCGGCACCTGGGGTGGTGATGATGATGATGAGTTGAATTATGTGGGTTCTGCAGGCAGTGGAAGAGTCTCTTAAGAGTGTTAATTTATATCATGGAGGAGTCGCTGACAAGCAAGCTGGAAAGTATAGTGGAGGAATGAAGAGGAGGCTTAGCGTTGCAATTTCATTGATTGGAGATCCCAAAGTAAGTCTTTGTATCCATGTGAGAAGATCACTTGGTCACATATATAAACGTGTGCCTTCATCCTGACTAGTATTCTGATACAATTTGCAAGGTTGTATATATGGATGAGCCTAGTACTGGACTGGATCCAGCTTCAAGAAACAATTTGTGGAATGTAGTCAAGCGTGCAAAGCAAGATAGAACAATAATTCTAACTAGTAATGTTACTCTTCATATCCACTATTCTTCACATTCATTTTGCATTGGTAAGTGTCCTGCATTGGATGCTCACTGGATTTGTGTAGGTAAACCTCCTATGATGATGATCCTTTTGGAGTGAAGTAAACCTCACTCATTGGAGGTCCTTGGATGAGTTAGACGTGATTTAAAATGGTGTGAGAGTCTAGCTTGTTATTTTTAACACTCAACTGTCTGGGGTAGCCCGTTTCATCTATTTATCCGTCCCAATTCGGACTGTGGGGCATTTTTAGTAATATTTACTACTCCCTCCGTCCCTAAATTTACTTGTGCAGATGAGAGAGAAATGTGTAAGAATTGCTCTGAACCACAATTCTTTGCCAAAAAGGGAGAGTGGAAGTTTATTTTGGGACGCCGAAAAAGGAAAGTTGGAAGTATTTTTAGGACAGAGAGAGTAGTTTTTTCCTAATATACATGATAAATCTCATATCTCAAGGATCCTTTTAGGGTGAATTAGATCCTGTTTAATACCCACAACCAAACTATTGTGCGCATAATTACTTGGTAATAAAGTTCCTTGATACAATGAACATTTAATACCCATTGCACACTGCTTAACGAATTCGAGTGCCACAAGTTTGCTTTTTATTTTACCAATGTATTATCTTTTATCAGCTCACTCAATGGAAGAGGCAGAACATGTATGTGATCGGTTAGGTATCTTTGTAGATGGAAGCTTGCAATGTATAGGAAATCCTAAGGAGGTAAATCAATGCATGTATTGCGTTTTCATTGTTGTAATGTAGATGATGGTCATATATCAGAAGAGGGCAGAGCATTCTAATCATATCTCTCCATTCCCTATGTTTTACACTCTATTAGTTGCCCTCAGGGCGTAGCTCAAGTTGAGGCAGCCGGGACTTGGGGCAGGGAGCAGGGTGGCAGGGGCCTTGGTGGTGGTGGTGGTGGTGGGGTGGGGGTGGGGAGCAGGGCTAACCATTTTCAATTATCATTAGTCTACTTACATTACTGGATTTTCCATTTCAAAACAGGAATATGTTTACCATTAGAGTTTATAAGTTAATTTAATAATTCTAAAATTTAAAACTCTTTATGTAACCTCAACTACTGCATTGTCACATTTACATTACCATTGTGTGTAACTTCACTGTTGGAGACGTGTTCTTTTTTAATGTATTCCTTTCTCTAAATCTGGATGACACCATTTTTCTGTTTAGGATGAGATCACTTCGTCCTAAAAAACCAACACCTTTATGCGTTGAGGATGAACTCCATGGACATAAGAAGGAAAATGATTTTTTGGAGTAGGAAAAATAGAGAAAAATACCACTTTCTTAAAAATGAAGAGTTTAAGTCGTCAATATTTCTCATTAGTGCACATTAGAGTTTCTCTTTCTAAAAGATGCGTTGTTAACATTTAGCTAGAAAAAGAGATGGAAATGCACTTGTCATTAATTATTCAGAAATGTAAATTTCCTTTATTATCGTTTGTTGTAAGTACTTTCTTTTGCCTGTATTTGCTTTTGATCTTGTGTAATTGATGAATGTAAGCAGTTAAAAGCCAGGTATGGAGGGTCGTATGTACTCACCATGACAACATCTTCAGAACACGAAGATGCAGAAGTAGAGAGGATGGTGCACAGTCTCTCCCCAAATGCTCACAAGATCTACCAAATTTCAGGCACACGGAAGTTTGAGCTGCCAAAGCATGAGATAAGCATTGCGGATGTTTTCCGTGCCATTCAAAATGCAAAGAGAAGCTTTACCATTCATGCATGGGGTCTAGCAGATACAACCTTAGAGGATGTGTTTATAAAGGTTGCAAGAGGAACTCAGTCATCCATTAGCCTCTCGTGAGATCCTCCATGGTAATTAATACCATAATATTGTTCACTTCTGCTTCCTGGACATCTATAAGACACCTTGCTATTATATTGTGTGATTTATTTATAGTCAAATATTACAAAATGCCAAATTACAGTGTATTATTATAAGTTTGTAATAATACTGCTTGCTAAGATTGTACTATTATTCTACATCTATTATAGCCAAAAATATAAGTTCGTCGCACACATATTTATTGTGGTGAATCCTTCCTCAATGGTGAATGAATCTTACCATATCTTTAGTTAATGATATAACCAAAAACTACTTAACTATACTTTGATTAACAATTGGCTTATGTCTACTACATTAAAAGTTGAACATATATGGATAAAATTGTGGTTGTTGCGCATGGCGGTGCATTAGAAGTACTGCTACTATCTTCGGTGGTAGTGGCGGTGGCGTCTAGCAGTAGTGTCTGCCAATGGTGGTGTTGGATGATAGAACCTGCCATTGCCATTGGCACATGGTAGTGGCATCTACTATTGATAGCAGCTCTAGAAAGTTGCAACTATTGTTAGCGGTGGCACCAAATGATAACAATCTTTATCGGTGGTTGGTAGAGGGTGCTATTAGTTTTGCAATAGCAACATAAACTGCTACTTTCATTTGTATAGAAAATGTCGGTAGGGAGTGAATTTCTTTCTGCCGTTGGTTTTGATGGTGTTGGACTGTTATGATAATGCTAGGTGAGCAGTTTTTTCCTTGTTAGGCCGCGGGTTTTGATATCGTAGACTTCATTCTGGAGTATGTCTAGTGCTTTGTTTATTTTGTATTGTTTTCTTTGATGCTTTACAGCGTAGTAGACTTGGATAAATGTACTCTTTACACTAGCTGATCAAACGAATTTTTCTTATCGGTGCTTTGTAAAAAGGGAGTTTTATCGGTGCAGAAATAAGATCACTAGTTCTCAGTTCTCACTAATGGAGTCTTCTGGCGACTCCGGTAAAATTGACGCATGTACAATTATAAATACATCTACCCATATACTAAAAAAGCATCACTTAAACATGGCTACTCCTGAAAAAAAATCACATTAATCAATTCACCGGAAGATCACCGTTTTTAAGCGGTCATTTTTTTCTTGGGTGTTCTTTCCGACTCCTTCCTCCTTTCTCATTTTTTATTTTTCTTGCGTTCATTTTTTAACCTTTTCTGTCTCATTCTCTTTTTCTATCTCCCTTGCTTTGTACGTCCTCCTCCCACGCCCCCTTCACCCTTTCCCTACTTATTTTTGTTCTTTTTTGTTCCTTCCCCTTTTCCTATTAAAAGATACAATTGTACTTTGTAATATTACATACAAGTATGTACTAACGTACAAGAGTTTGAGTTAAATTGTGCGTATCTATACATTATGAGATTATCTACATATATGTATGTAAATAATGATCCACAATTTCATTTATGAAGTACGAGTATATAATACGGAGTATGTGTGTATTGGTGTATGTGTGTATTACTACGTATTATATATGTGTGTGTATCCAAGTAAATATTCGAGTACTACGTATGTATGGTGATAGAACGTGATGTATGTTGTATACAGTACACACACACGGATTAGTCATGGACTCAGGTCGGGCCGCCTTGCCCGGAACCGGTACTGTTTGGGCTCGGCCTGGCCCGGTACCCGGTAGGATCGGTCTGGGCCACCCGAGCCCGGAATTAATCGGGCCGGTCTCGGGCCTCCTAAAAGTGGAAGCGTGGAACCGGTCCGGCCAATTTTTTTTTGGGTTTTTCAATTTTTTTGGTTTCTCCCGGGTTGGTCTGGGTGTTTTTTTTTTTTTTTTTTTTGGGGGGGGGGGGGGGGGGTTGGGGGTGGGGGTAATTAGAAAAGCAAAAGAAATTTTAAAAAAAATAACATGAACCGGCTCGGAACCGGTGCCTACCCGTGCCGGTTCCGGTTCTTCCTTCCCAAAAAAAAAAGCCCGGCCGGGCCCGACCTGGCCCGAGTCCATGAGATTATTTATATGAAGAATGTCTTGAAGTTAATCCGGAAAAAGGGTGCTGGAAACTTTCTCAGAGAAGAAGGGTACACGAAGGTAGGGATGGCCCCGGGCCGGTTCGGGCCCGGTTCGGGCCTAGGCCCGGCCGGGCCTCGTGTCTGCTTTGTTGGGCCCGAGCCCGAACCGGTGGCCACCGGTTCCGGGCCGGGCCGGGCCACCCGGTTAGTTTTTTTTTTTTCTTTTCTTCCCCCCCCCCCCCCCCCCCCTCACCCCCCACCCCCCCCCCCAAACCCCCCAAACCGGTCCTAAACATCAAGCCCAACTCAATAAAGCCCAAAAAAATGAAAAAATTAAAAAAAAAACAGTTTTTTGGCCCGGACCCGGGCCCGACCCGGCCGGGCCGGTTCGCCAAATACAGGGCCCGAGCCCGGACCCCCCCCACCGGGCCTAGGCCCGACCCGGACCCGGACCCGAGAACCGGGCCGGTTCCAGGCCCGCACAGTGGCGGGCCAGGCCGGTCCCGGGCCGGGCGGCCCGAACCGGGTCCAAGTCTACACGAAGGGCTTCTTCATTTGATGGTAACCTCCCGCAAACAAATATTCACAACATAGGGGCAACACTTGGTGTTGACAAGTTTGGTAACAAATACGTAGTACTATCAGAACCTTATTTAGTAAAAAGCACTTATTCTACCAAACACTACCAACTTTTACTTTCTCGGTTTTCGTGTAGAATCTACTTTTATTTTTTCTATTACAAAAAAAGCATTTATTTTACCAAACACTATCAACTTTTACTACTAATCACTTTTTCCCAAAAAGTGCTTTTATTTAAGCACAAGCACTTGCAAACAAAGCCTGAGTAATTTAGAGTGGTGTTTACACTTCTTGAAGATTTTTTTTAGTTTCGGTCCACTTTGTAATCAAAACTAGACTTGGCACCAAGTGTTTTGCAGAATTACTTTGCAGAAATCCTCTAAAAGATGAAGTAAAAGTAGAAGAGTTAATGCACCTTTGAAGGGTAAATTCCTTGTATTCTTGCTCTTTGAATACCCTCACTGCCACACAGACACAAACATTCAAATATTCAATTCATATTACCAAATAACAAACACCGAAAGTAAAATAGGAGAGGACATGATTACGTCATGAAAAAACTATCTTACTAAAATATACTACCTCCATTCTTTTTTAGTTGCAACATTTCCATTTTCACGTTTGCCAGCACACAACTGTGATTATCATTATACTTGATTCTCTCATCATCATCATCATCATCATCATCATTTTCATTTACCCCAGTGCCTCCATGGCTCCCACCTACGGTGGGGTAAGAGGGGTCAGATGTACGCAGTCTTACCTCTGTACTAAAGCACAAAGAGACTGTTTCCGGATGATCCATAGTGAAAATCGCGTCCAAAATTGCATGGGCTGACTGCTACTTCATAACAAAGAAGCGCAGACAGTTTAGTGAGCCATTTTGCTTTATTCCATCATATTCTCAACCCAAAAAATAAAGAATCTTTGGCTCCATTGCAAATGATGAAAAAATTATGAAAAACTATACTTGATTCTCTATTAGTAAAAATATTTAAAAATCAAATTATGAAAATTCGTAATGATGAGATAAATTCAACGATATTTTTAAAAAAATAAGACCTCTCATACATTAATAAATAAAAAATAGTCAAAATAGAGTATACGAATAGTGTAAAATTAAAAAGAAAGGTACTTAATAAAAAGACATAAGAGTATCTCATAACTAGAAGTATCTTACATAGATTCCACTGGTTTTGTTGTTGCCTCTATAAGCAATCTCTCCTGAAAACCTACCAACAGTGAGTTAATTACTTATTTAGTACTAAAAGAAGATCCATGTGCACAAATATAACTAAAAACAGGATCAATATTTCATAAGACTTAAAATCACCTACTTGAACAAATATACCCCTAATCATATTTTGTTTCAATTTATGATTACAAATTAAAATTTAAATCTTTTTGAAACTCTAAATGTGAGCCGCAACACATAGCAAAAGCATTGTTGTCGTCGTCATCGTTGTCGTCGTCGCCGCCTATAATGCTGCCTCCGTTTCCACTGTCTCTCTCGCCGATGCCACCATCTATCATCGTCCACACAGGCGTCACCCCAACCAACGTCGCTTGCCCCTGCAAGCTTCCCAAGGTCCTCCACTAGCTAGGGATGGACTCGGGCCGGGCGGCCCGGAACCGGCCCGGCCCGGTTATTGTTTGAACCAGCCCGGCCCGGCCCGGTTATTGTTTGAACCGGCCTGGTCCGGGAACCGGTCCGGGGGCGGTTCGGGTCGGCCCGGCCCGGTTACTGTGCGGTTCGGACCCGGGCCCTAGGATTGGCGAACCGGCCCGGCCGGTTCGGGCCTGGTTCGGGCCAAATTAATTTTTTTTATTTGAATTTTTTTTAAGTTTTTGGGTTGGGCTGGGTATTTTGGGCCATTTGAGGTGGTTTGGGGGGGTTTGGGGGTGAGGGGGGAGGGTTGAGGGTTAATTAGGAAAAGCCAAAAAAAAAAAATATAACCGAGGCCCGGCCCGGCCCGGACCCGGGATTACCCGGGCCGGTTCCGGGCCTCCCATTCCTGAACTGAGGCCCGGCCGGGCCCGAACCGGAACCGGTCCACCCATACCACTAGCAAGCAAGTATTAATTTCTCCGAAACTTTTGGTCTATGTTGTCAAATACACCACATTTCATCTTGTTGTGTTGTTGTTTCTTTTGGTGGGGTATTCAAAAATTAGATGTGAACATGCATTTCACATGATCATCTCACTAAGGATATATGCTATTCTACCCTTCGTTCATGAATGACATATTTGATGCCGAAAAACCCTTCCTTCTAGAAAGTGTCACACTCTTGAGGTCAAGACTCCCGCTGTATGTTTCAATATCTCTCAAAAGATATTGGAACTCATTCTGTTAGGAGGAAAAGAGGTTGAAAGATGAAAAGATTTAAAAGTCTATTCACCCCCTCTAGACTTTTACCTCACTTGGGACCATCACGTTTCATGCAACATTAAAATTCTCCTTTGTTTCTTTTGGTGGGACATCCCAAAAAGAAAACATAAAGATTTAAATGGGACGTTCCAAAAAGGAAAGTGTAAAGATTTAAATGGAACGGAGGGAGTATTTCAGATGATCATCTCACTGAGAAATAGATACAATTTTTAATAAAAATATTATTGAAATAAAACTTATTTATAAAAATATTACTCCCATCGTCCCATTTTGTAAGATAATCTTTCCGTTT